TCACAAAATTCAATGGTCAGACTTAATGATAGATAACAGTCAATATATTTCTTGTACAAAAAAAATTTTCAGGACATATAAAAGTCAAAAAACACTTTCAGATGTTGGGTTTTTTTCACAAGTACTTTCAAGATATTTAAGCAATTATCCCATTTTCTATGGATTGGGAATAGTTAATGGGATTGAGAATGGGAAGGCGGCTTTTATTTTATGTTTGCTAAGATGTAATATGTGGAGGGAGTACATACATTTATTTTATTTTATAAGATTGATAAGATTAAAAGAGTATAATACCCTTGGCAATTTAGAACTTGGGACACCAACCTTATGCACGCCTGGGAATGCGAGACCACATGATCATGTATTTTTTTCCTGAAAAAATAAATACATTAAAATTTGTAACGAGATTGTCCGCTAGAATGTATTCCAATACTTTCCATCAATAACGTTATGTAAATTTATTAGTATTTATTCTTCCGGTCATTAATATAAAACCCATTTAACTAATTTGATTAGATTAAGGAAGTTAGGTAAGTTAGTTAATTATAAGAAATGTGACATGTTTTTCCTAAAATACCATAATCATCTTTCTTAATACCTCCTCTCTCTCCTCTACTTAATTATTGTTGAGGGAGTATTCACATGAGTAGTTTAGAAAAAATTGATAAATATAAAAAGTAGGTCTTATATTTAGGACCAAAATCAACTCAACAATTAGGTCCTATATTAAGGACCGGAGGAGTATTATCCTAAAACATCCAATAATTAATATATTGACTAAAGTATATATTTGGTCTTTTAATTTTATATAAAGTTTCAGTTTAATCCTTAACTTAAAAAAAATAGTTTTAGTCTTTTAATCCTAAAATCATTAATATTAAATTATGATTTTTTGTAACAATCATGTTTGTTTTAAAAATTAAACTTAATATGTTAATATTTAATGTTTTATTAACATTTAAGAGCTTAATATCATATTTTTTGTTAACGGCTTTAGAATTAGAGAACTAAAAGTTTGCTTTTTAAAGTTAAAGAATCAAAATAAAATATTCTGTAAAGTTTAAAGAATAAAAATATACTCTAACCTTATTATATTTTATTTGAAAAATTGATAAGAAGCACTTGACTAAAAGTTCAAGATTTGTCCCTCCAGAATATCTCGTAACTCGCAGCACCCATTTTCAAAGAAATTATAAAAACATCCAATAATGACAGAATTTAAAGACCGTCTTATGGCAAATAAACATGTTTAGGGGTAATTATGTCTTACAATTATTATAAACAAGGACATTTTTGTCTTTTAAGTCTTTAATCCCAGGAATTAAAAGTCGTTACCATGGGGGAAAGTGGGATTGTATAATCCCATCTATATAGCATTGTTTAATCCCCAGTAATCCTTAACATCTCACACCAAACATTACAATTTGCCCAAATCCTTAGTCCAATCCCAATTCCTCTCCCTCAGTCCCGCTTTCCAAGCATGACTCAGGAGTATATTTTTCAAAGTACAAAGGGCAAATGATAGATATTTACTAACTAGGTTTTTTTTCCATACAAAAAGAAAAATTGAGAATTGAACTCCGACTACTTACTTTTTAAAAAAAAAAAAAAAAATCCGACTACTACTTTTGATTCAAAATTTAAAAGTCAGAATAAGTATTTTCTATTAAATAAGATCTTAATTCATTTTATTTTTTAAATTTATATTTTTTTTCTTAACTATCTCTATTGAGTATACATAATACAAACAGGTACTTTAAAAGTTAACATATTTTTTTTTAAATAACTAAATTATTTTTTTTCGTCTCTATAAATTAGTTATTTAACTCTTACATCCATATAAGCATTTTTTTTGGGCTTTTGTTTGATTTCCTTCTTTCTATCAGACAAAACATACCACATCATGAGCTTTACACTGTAGTTCTACATATAAATGATGTGTAACACAATTATTGGTGAGTTTTGTAAAGTGACAGGCTATCACAATAAAATATGTATATGTGTGTGTGTGTGTGTGTGTGAATTTATATATAAATTGTAGCTCATATAAAACTACTTGGCATCAGAGAGTCAAAGAAGGGAAGGAAAGATGCAGCAGAAGACACATGTAGATAAGTGATGATGAGCAGAACTGATGGTGACTTGTGAAATACGAATACATTGTCTTTATTGACAGACTCTATCCAATATGATCCTACATGAATATGCTAAGATACCACACATATGGTTGAATCCCATGTGGCTTGTGGATTGGGCAATAAGTTTTAGATAGAAATGGACAAATTAATCTACTCATATATTTAAATTTGAGTAAGAGAGGCAGATATAGAAGTAAATTTAGGAACAGATAGAACTGTTAGAGAAGTTATGATAATTATGCAGACTTTTTTAACTCAAACAGAATTACTAGAGATGAAAGATTGTAATGTCCAAGCTCTGTTTTTTTTTGGGGCAAAATTTCGTTTTTGGAATGAGATGTAAAGAAAAATGATGCATAGCATTTCTTTTTCTTGTGTTGTTTTCCATTTTCAATGTAGAATAAAAGTTACCAACAAAGCAGCCTCATCTCTGTAAAGAGAAAAACACAAATTCAAATCTTAAAAAGTGTACTTGTTGGAAAAGGCAAAAACCTTGCGCTCTAAGCCTTTAATCTTAATTTAAAAAATATGAGGTAAATATATGAAAAGAGTTTTATCTTGAGTTACATATACCATATTTATAAGTGATTTCGATCGTGACCTCAATAAAGTCCAAAATAGTCTATGAAAACTCTTCCCATTTTGTATTCCATTTTCAATGTAGAATAACAGCCTTTTTTTTAATAATTAAGTTAAAATAGTCTATGAAAATTGGTTCCATTTTGTATTCAGAATAACAGTTTTCTTCTAATTAACATAGTCCATAAAAATTGGTCCCATTTTGTATTCCATTTCACTGTAGAATAACAGTTTTCTTATAATTAAAATAGTCCATGAAAATTGGTCCCATTTTGTATTATATGTTACTTTAGACAAAAATGTCAATATTTTTACAGTTCTGCACAACGCTTAGGTTTGTCAGCTTTTGATGAGAAGGCAAGACAAGCATCAACAATTCAACATGATTGTTTTGTTTAATGTAACAATTCAATGAACAAATAGGAAGTAATTAATTTTTTATTTATGAATATTTAATCAATGCTAATTACAATTATGGACAGCACAAATTATTTATCTCGCTAGTCTCATATTGTCTTTATTTAACTGATTGCCTAACCTTGTTTTATTCCCCCTAAACATCAATTAGCAGAAGGTTCCATGCATAAAGAGGGAAAATTATTGCTAGTAACATAATTCTAACATAATAAAATCAAGTAGTATATTAGTTTTTAGATATAATGTACTTGAAATTAAATTAAATGACAGACATTTTTTTTGCCAATTCACACCTGGATAAATGGATTTCTGCATATAGAAAAAATAAAATATTATTTGATTGTATTTATCTTTTATATTGTTTTTCTTTTAATCCAACCACCTAGTATTTGATTACTATATTAGACCCGACTAATTCGGATCAACTTCTCCAAAGAATTATTTAATGCAGCTGCAAACTTAAGACCTGAAAGTTAAATTGAAGAAAATTTAACTAACAGTCTCCCACCCATTTTTTTAAGATAAGGACGGAGAAAGTTAAAAGTAAAACAAAAATTACAGAGATGTAGGATTTTTATTCTATCCAGTTTAACAAATCCCATTACAGTCTCTTACTTGTTTCTCGTGGGTTTTAATTAGGTTTTTTTTTTTTAAAAAAAATACTTTTTAAAAAAATTTTGTTCCAAGTTTGTGGGAAATTATTCTCTTTTCCAATGCGAGGTTGGCCCATTACACGAACGGAAGTTTGACCGGCCCAATTGATCCAGTCCAGCTTGAGGCCTCTTGGGATAAATAGAATGGTAAGACCCAATGTATGTTATTTTATGATTTTTTTTTTGACCAGATGTTATTTTACCATTTATATATTTTATGAATCATTATTCTTGAACAGCAGACTATTAATAGATTATTTCTATTTTGCATATAAATATTTTAAAGTTAAAATATATTAACACATGCTAAGATTATCTAACAAATCCGGACCATCCGGATTGATTTTGGATAACATAAATTCTCTATATATCATCACTTTGTGGATTGGAAATGCAGTAATTTTAAGCGTTAAAAGGCATAGAGAGAAACTAATAGAGAGAATCCCATTAAAAGAAGTTTGAAATTATTAAATCTTAAATCAGATTTGATTCACATACTTTGACAAGTTTTAACAACACTTGACTTAGGAATTTCTCATCTGAAATTTAATAATTTAAAAAAAAATTGTGTGATTTTCCCAAACTAACAAGTGAAAAGGAAAAAAACTTAGTCCGTACTAAACACCATCCAATCATACTTAGAGAGGCGAAAATCTATCCACACGAGAAAGACGAAAATGAATTAGACATGACTGAGGGGATCAAATATACCCATATGCCTTAACCATCCATTTCTTCAACGTTCCCTGGTCACTTGATGCTCTTGCCACTTCTTTTACATTATAATAATTTGCCCTCTCAGACAAAATGCATCGCAAACCATTCACAAGCTGTGATTTCTACATTAGATATCTTTCATTCATGGAACAGACGGATAAGTACGAACATGCAAATTTAACAAAAGTTGTACATATTTTTCTAGCATTTAAAAGGGTGAAAAAGAAAAGAGAAGTACATAGCCCAAAAAGAGAAACACCATTTATATTTATAGTTTATTAATAGCATGATGACTCTCCTTATATTTATTTTTTATATTGACTGATTTATCTTGCAGTGTCTAACAAAGCCATCTTACCACAAAAACAATAAATAAGAAAGTTTTGAACCACCATGTCTCAAACTGTTAACAACCATACCATGCGTGAAACTCCGTATATATAACGTGGACAGATATTTGAGCAATTACCAGAAATTTACGCAGTGCAAGAGATGATTCAAGTCTTGGAACATCAATGATTTGCTTTGAATGGTAAGCACAACAATGCATCTCACTCGAAAAAACACAGCAGCGATTCCCTGGTTCATTTGTATATTATTTTACAATTTCATTGATATTGATATTGCTGATACAGATGGATGGACAAGCACAAGACGACATGATAATCCTTATAAATATCAATCAAATTAATAAAATTATAACGCAGAAGCGATGGCATCCAAAAGAGAGGCAGTGAATCGCATCTGGGTTTCTTCATCGATTCTTGAAAAGAGGGGGACATGGACAAATAGAGACTTGTTACCGTGTTGTTCTGCAAATCGGAGGGAGTTGTAGTAAACATAGTTGCAGACGAAGCGTCCCGCATCATCTGATATAATCACATCAAAAGCCTCCTTCTTCAAGAATTTGAAGATTGCCTCAACAGGCATAGAGGTCTTCAATAACATAGGAAAAGAGAAATGTCAGGGAAAGCCAGAGGTACAAGTGATAGCTCAGCAAGTAAACTACATAGATTTTATTGCTAATTACTACCATATCAAATGAGCGGGAAGCACACGTTTCATGTTTATGCGTTCAAGCAAGCATAACATTACCAGACATTTTGCTTACACAAATTTTACCACACAATAGCGTCCCACGCTGTAGGATGTTGACGAGAATCATGGAGACAAGACATTCATCGCTTGTTTATATTGGTTAGTTTTGTTTTGCCATCAACGGGGAATATTTACACTCACCCCAGATCTAAAAAGCAACATTATGAAAACAAGCTTATACGGGTGTCCTGGGTATTTGACTCTCCTAACAGAAGTTTAGTGCTTGGTGTTCTTTTTCCCTGTTTATTTGCATGTACTTCTTTATTACAAACATTTTTTTTTTTTGGGGGGGGGGAGCTGAGGAAGGATATTCCTCATATAGAGTGAAATATCTCCAAGTTAAAAACAAAACTACAAGCTTTTCCCAGTCATCATAAGAACCAGCATCAACTTTTAATCCTCATCATTGAGAATAAACAATACAAGTTTTAAGGTAATAATCCCAAAACACCATTAAATGCAGTTGTCCAATGACATGCTATTTGAAAAGATATGGATCAAAAGATACCTCTCTTGTTCGGGAAATTCCTCCATCTTCAGGCACAATTGGGACTTGCTGAAATATAAAAGTTAGGTAAAGTAATTGATGTAGAAAAATTTAAGGTATTCCAATTTCCAACAAAATACCATGGAGAATTTGTAGCCTATATAATAAAAGAACAAAAACCATAATTCACCTGAGGTTGCCAGCCTAACTCATCTGGGCAGCGGAAAGTGGCTTCATTTACTGCCTGCCGCTCAATGGCAAACTTCAGAGCCCCACTATTCACCCCCAAGTGAAGCTAAAGCAAAAATGCAGGAAAAGTCCCTTAATTAAACCAATCCAGGACACAACACAGTCATATCAATGCATAGCACACCAATATTTCTATTCAAACATCTACTGCAAATTAGCATACAACAGAGGAAGGAAAAACAATATATCATCAACATATCAATATAAAAATAAAATAAATAACATGCCACACTAGCCAAAAGCTATGAATAATGCAGCTCATTCCTCAAATTTCATGCAGTGCACGGGAAAACATGTATAGTTAACTTATTAGAAGACACTTTCAGTGGAATCACAAGATTACCTTGCTACGGATGGCAAAGAGAAGATAATAGACAATTATTTTAGATCAACACTTCAGAAGAATACACATTATTTATTACAAAGAAGGGAAAATATACCAGTAGGTTATGGGTAAGTTATCCTCCCCGAAAAAGAAGCCAAAAGATTCAGAAAGGGTGTCAAGAACTGTATCGCTAGAGCAATTAGCAATATTGCAATGCCCCACAGCAAATGCAGAGCATTCATGTGTTGATGGTAACAAAGTGCAACCTGGTGGGCGGTGACTTCCAGTCAAAAAAATTTTTTGAAAAAAAAAAAAACCACCATTAAAACTGGACCAATATAAAATTAAATGTGTACTGTGAAGTTTTATCGACTTTGTCAAGACTGCCTGACACTTTACTATAGCAATCATTCTGAAAACCAGGATGCTCCCATCATATCATAATTAAGACTAGAAAGTTAAACCTAACTGCAAAATATTAAATGGAATTAATGACTGATTAAGGAAAAACATTGTTCATTATTTCCATTTTTGTCCCAGTCAGCAAGTCCCTGACCCTTTTCCATGTACTTCATAAAGGCTACTTTCAGAAAAACTATGTTTCTTGCAATGCATATCTGAATTATGACATACAAATCAGGCGACATAACCAAAAATTCAATCAGTTCTACTCAATACTATAACTAAGTAAACGAAGAAAACTAACCCACACAATATGTGCATTGCTTGCAGCATCTTTTGAAATACCAGATTCCAATGTCTGGTTAAGCTGTGGAAGTTCACCTTCCCCAGCCGCCTCAAGCACAGTGCAGCTCCCAAGCGTAACTCCTGCAGGAAGACCTCTCTTTTCTACATAATCCTTCAATTTATTAACAATGGTCTCTGTTGGATTATCAGCAACACCTTGAAACTTTTTAAATCCGGTTACATGAATAGTGATGGCCTTTGGCCCTTCAGATCCCATTTCGTCGTTCTGAATGCGGATGCAGTTCCCAATTTTCGATGAACTTAGCAATTAACCGGTGTTTATGCCAACACTGCAAAATAAAAACAATTAGTGGCAAATTGCACTCCCTATAAATGCCATAAGCATCTAGGTTTGCCTAAGAGTCTCCAGTTAAAGGTTATCCAGACATTAACTTCAGGCTTAAGAATTTATTGCCCAAGGTCGCCACTGTCTAGACTGGAGCTCAGCCAATCACAGTTGACATAGTTTCATTGCTCTATCGAGCCATCAAACCACCAAGGAAAACCGATCTCCATGTTCCAAACCTTTTGATTCCACTTTTTTTTTTTTCGCACTAACATTCCACTATCATTTTACTCCGCTTCATTTCAAAATAATTGCCGCATTGGGGTCTTTTACACAGACCGAGGAAATCATTAAATAACCAGATTATAGTAAAATGTAATTATACTTTACTAAAATATCCTTGATTCAAATACTTTCCAAAATACGCTATTGGATTAGATTGAGATATTAACAAAGGTTAACGTAGTAAAAACAATCCTGGCAATATTAAAATTAAAAAAGAAATTAAATGACATTTTTTGAAAAATACCAAAAACCAAAGTAACAATTATTTTGAAATAGATGGAACATATGACATGCCTATGTCAATGATCAGACTTATTGTCATGGTAAATGGTGCCTTCAATTGATTTTATTAAGAACAGGCGAACGGGCTTGCATAATCAGAGCATGGTAATAGGGAAAAATTGAAGCACTTCAGGTAATTTAGGTGTACTTGACTGCAAAACTTAAGAGTCATCGCACGCTTGTAGTTTTCACTTCAGGTGACTTAACATGTGATCGACGTAGACACAGAGTTAAAAGGCTAAATCATCCCGATAACATAAGCGTACTGCAGAATCGGAAACTAAACAGGATCTTCGTCTACACAATGGTTTGAAGTCATACTCTACGTTCCACTTCGTGACCCACAGTGATTTATTTACTCGAATTGTGAATTTCTCAGTACAAGAATAAATCATACCGGAAATCGACTCAAAACAGCCTTTCCTTCACAGAAGATAATGTAATTCTCAAGTTTCAATCCTACTCCAGCTAAAACATGCTTATTTTTCGCACCAGTTTCTACACAGTGATACAAAACACGATTGCCAGACATCATTTGAACACATATAATCGCAATCAGAAGGAGGTGAATTCAATGTCAACTGCAGAGAATAGTACATAGCAGTGGCGAACAGTGAACAGAATCAGAGACAAGGTAAATTAGGGGAGAAACCGGAGACTGAAAGATACCTACCGATTAACGCTACTGTGAAAGGAGCCGTAGAAGCTCAAACTTTAGAGAATTGAGGTAGACGAAGAAGAGAGAGGAGACCAAAAGCATATCGCATCATCAGTTGCGTCGCTTGGTACTCGAAGCTGTAATCGTCATTTTGTGAAGAAGAGGATAGTAAAATGCCATTGGGTTGTCGTGTTATTACGATTTCTGCCACTGTTGCGTTCTGGTGATGAGTTTTGGCGTGGCTATACGTCATCGGCGGTTTCGTGAAGCGACAGACCACTGGTGACTTGGCGTCCAAACGACAAAGCGTTTCATAAGAGACGTTCTTTTCAGAAAGAGTTATGATAAAGTTCCAAAAAAAATAATTATAAAATATATCTTTAAAATGGTTATTTTTTATTTTAAAACTTGTCATTATTAGCTAGATTGTTATTGAGACTTTTTAGTACTACCTCTTATCTTTAATATAAAACTAGTTGACAAATTTGAATAGATTAAGAAAATTAGTTAAATTGATTATTTATAATAAATAGATTTTTTTTAAATATCCTTATTAATTAAATGTATGGACTAGAATTATCATTACTTCAAAGACTACCTTAGAAAAAAATAAATAAATATAAAAAACAAAGAGAATTAAGATCTTAAATTTAGCATTAAAATAAAAGTTAAACAAACTCTTATATTAAGTATAGGAGGTAGTAATTATTTTTCTTTGGTTAATGCAAATTTTGGTCTTTTAAGATTACTCTCATTTTGATTTTGGTCTTTCAACTTTCAAATCATAGGATTTAGTCCATTAAGGTTTTTTTATTTAAAATATTAGTCTTTATGATCTAATAAAAATTTGGAGATTTTATCTTTTAAAAATTTATAACTGAAAACTTGAGAAATTAAAATCAAAATAAGAATAAATTTAAGAAATCAAAAATTATATTAATTTTTTTTTCTTGCAACTGGATTGTAATTCTCCCTTCTTTTTACTCCTCCAGGCGCCATCATTTCTCCGTCGTTGCGTCATCATGTCCTTTTGATGAGTCCCACACCCGTTTAGGTTGGTGAAGGCGAGGATTATCGTCCTCACAAAAAACGCGTGGCTATTATAAAATCGCTGACCGAATGTTTGGTAGGAGTGAATAGGAGGGAAGAATTGATTTAAAAAATTAAAAAAAATAGTGTTCTAAAATTTTGATAAATAAAATACACAAAATTAAAAAGTAAGAAAAATTAATTAAAAATTTTAACTATAATTTTTTAATTTTTTAAATTAAATTTATTAAAAAAACTTTCTCCCCTTTCTTCTTTTTAATTTTCCTTGCAAAAGAGGATTCTAAATGGAGTCTGTTTGGCAAGAGAGAAACAGAAAGGAATGAGTTCGATTAAAAAAAAAAAAAGAGGTGAGATTAAAATCAATTTTTTTATTTTTTTATATTACATTTTTTATTAAAATTATATAACTATATTTTTTTAAAAAATTTTTAAATTAAAGTCATTAAAATTTTTAATCTCCTCTCCTCTCCTCTCTCTCTTCCCATCATTTTCTTCATATCAAATATAGCTTAAATGAAAAAGAAATTCCTAAAAAATTACCACTTGAATTTTATTTTCTTATAAAGATGTCTCGTTATTTTTTTTTTAAATATAGTCAATTGTTATTAAAGTATAAAAAACAAGAATAATTTACAATTTTAAAATCTAAGTAGTATCTCTCCGGGATCTTCCTAGATGAAATGCTGCATATATTTGGAAGTGAAAAAATAAATGAATTCCATTTGTATTTTTTTAAAAAAATTATTTTTTAAAAATGCATGAAATGATTCAAATTTCATTAGCAATTAAATATGAGGAAAGGTGCAATTTTATTCATAATCTTTTTAGTAGTACAAATGATTTTTTTTTTGCAATTTTATTCATTTTTTGTGTAATTTTGCTCAAATAAAATTACTCCTTGACCCATTAAACATTGTCTAAGAGTCATTAAGCTAACTGTTATACGGACATATTGCTTGCACGTTGATTATCAAAAATTTAATACCACATGTTGTGGAACATGAATCATCGTTATTGTTTGTTGGGATTAGTTTATGTTAAATAATTTTGTATTATACAAGGTAAATATTTAAGAGGAGTTTTTGTCTCAAATTAAGTTGTTGTTTTTTTAATTAGCTTATTTTAAATAATTTTATGATATAAATATGTGAAAATAGTATTGTTCCGAGCCATATGTAAGTGCTTTTGAGGGGTCTTCACAGTTGGAATTCATGCATTGCTAAAATATAATAATAAAATTAACAATTTTATTTATCTTTATTTTTTATTATATACAATTAAAATTAAAATTGATTATTATAGTTTACGTAAAATTTTCAATTTGTCCTTATAATTAAAATAATGCATCCTTAAAATTAAAAAATGATTTTAGTCTTGCAGAGTGAGGGGAGTTGGGAGAAAATTTTTGAGACAAATGATATTCTTCCAGTTTTAATATAAGTATAAAACAATAAATAAATCACTTAATTTTAATAAACATGACATAATCTTTTTAAAATGTCCCTATATACCAATATACCGTTAGACTATATATTTGTATATAAATTAAATAAATTAGTTGGAAAAACAATAATAAATATAAAAGATGAAATATATTAAAATTTTAGATTTAAGACTAAAACTAAATTCTCAAATTAAATAGCTTGCACCAAGTGTTTGTTTGCATAGTAATCCAATTTAATTTCCAAACTGTATTGTAGATAGAATTAGCTGCCGGATCTTTCAATCTTAGGAAATAAATTATTGCCACAATAATGGCACTTGCCTCTAACAACTTCCATTACAAAGGGTTGCTTCTGCAGCTAGGCATGTGGGATCCCAATTCCCAGGCCCCCTCTTTTCTTTTCTTTACATACTTTTAATTATTACCTCCAGTTCTAATTATAAGATCTCGTTTATAGACTACAAACAAAATTTTATAATTAGGACTAGGGGTAGTATTAAGAAGTCACACTAAATCATACAATTTAACAAATAGCATCGTCAATCAGGTTTACTAGTTTTTTTTAATTTAAAAAATTATAGTAATTAAATTGTATTGAAGTGAAGTTGAGTCGCTGTTAAATCAGAATTTAGACTTTGATTGATATTTAAGAACCAAAACAATTTCTTAAAAACCAAACGGTTTTTCAGCAGATGAAATGGACCCTTTCAAAAAATTCATTATATTTTCAAACTACTTGTTGTTATATGTTGTTATTTAATTAAAAACTTCATATATTATTGTGTTATTATGTTGACAATTAAACTTATTATGGATTTATTTTTTATATATATATTCATCACTTTATTCTTATATGTAAGTCACTTGTAATAAAAAAAACTTGATCCCATAAGTCCCTTGAAGGCAATAATGACCCTTTGCTAATTTTATTCTTATTGAGTACAATAAAAAAAAAAGTTGAGAGAAAATGTACGACATGTTTTTTTTAATACCATTTCTTTAATAGGAACAAATGTGAAAAAAATTTATCAATTTAATGAATTTCTTGGTAAATAAAAATAAGATACAAGTAACTTGCATATAGAATAGGGGAAATTACAAATAAAGACCTCCCAATATATAAAATAACGATTAGAGACCCTGAATTTGGATAATAGTTTTAGAGGACCCGGTCCCAAATAGAAATTATGAAATGTTGGTTAAATGACGAAATTGGCCTTCTACTTTTCCCCAATCCTTTATCCCCCAACATCATCTTTCTTCACTCTTCTTCTCGTCTCCCTCTTTCCTTTCTTATGTAAACGGCAGCAAGAATGAAGGAAGGTGACCATGAGTGAATGAGCTACGGTAAGGATCACAACTGATTGTTCTGTGTTTGATTTTCTCTCCTTGTCTTGTCTCCATCTTCCTTGGATTTCTGGTTCCTTGACTCATCTCCTTGCCAAAGCCCCTTGTGGTCTCTATGGATGCGATGAGAAGAAACTTCGCTCATGGGTATTGTCGTCACCACCTCTTTCTCTCTCGGGAGTCATTATTCGAAGCAAATATCAGCTGCGTCACTGTAACCCTATTTTTCTTCTTCTTCACTTTCAAAGCATAACCTTATTCTCTTCATTGCTTGCTGTGGATGCTTGGGAATACTCTTTGACACTTCTTGGATTTTGTAATTATTTGAAAGTTCTGTCTAGATTTATAATAGTTGCGGCATATCATACGATTTGGAAATTTTCGCATAATTCAATCTTCTTTGTCACCACTGGTATGTATTGAAATTTGGATGATATCGCTTCCTCTTGCCGGTTTCCCCTGTTTTTGGTGCTGCTACTGCTTTTCATTCCTTGTAATTGGTGTGATAGAATTTTGGAATTTAGGGATGCTTTTGAGTTGAGGATCAATTTGCTTTGAATCAAAACTGTTTTGTTACTAGCTGAAACGATGATATCTTCAATATCTCCCTGTAAACTTTAACAATGATGATGCCTAGTGAATGTTCATACTTGAATTCCATTACACATGAGGGTGTTGCTGTCTGTTTGAAAAATCACATTAAGTCTCTATAGTTTCTTGTTGGGTTTACTTAAGCTAGCCTATTAATGTTGGCAGTTTACAAATGCCTTGTATAGTATAATGATTAAAATAGGTTATAGCATTTTGTTTTGGCATTGTAGTATGATCCAAAGTGGATTTTTGAAGTGAAATTTTGTGGAGTATTTAGTCTCTCATAACTTGGTCCTTCATAGGCAAGCTAATTCTTGAGTTTGTTCCTAACAGATGGGTATTTTTCTATTTGGTCTTCTGCAAATAAAATAGATATCAATAATATTCTTAATCTAACTTTGTTAATTTGTTCTATATTGTAACAATTTAGAACTATTTAATCTTATCCACTTAATTAGAAATGTGATGACAGAAATGTTGTGACAAAAACACAGAAATTCTATTATTTGTCTTAATGAACTTGTTATTTGCTAAAGAAATTTGGAAATTCTATTATTTGAACAAAGAAAATTAAATTGTATGAAATGCTTATCAGAAGTTGTCATTCGCGTTATTAAAATTATCATTCGCCTAACCAAACTTGTCATGAATTACTTATCAGAATTTGTCATCTGCTAAACAAATTTGG